TGGCCATTATGAGTACTTTTTGATGTATTACATGTAAATTCAAGCCAAGGGCTTAATGTGTAAATGAGTTAGTACTCTTTTGTTGTAACCAAGTGTTAACTTGGAAAGCTGTAAGCCCGTAGGGCATTTTGCTTTTGTTGTTAACATGTAATACTTTTGTAATGAAACTCTGATGAATAGAAGAATGTGGTTATTTCATGTGTCAATGAATGTCTTATTTGATGGGTTTAATGTTATTATTTTGAGGGCGTTACACTTTAAAAGATGGCAACAGAAAATGTTGTTCTATCTTACAACTCTAAACCTGGCTCGTTTCCTCCGTGAAGATGCTCTTATCCTGAAAGAGGATGAAATTGACCGGCAAGTGGTTGCTGCGGTTGATGCTTGGAAACATGCCGATTTCCTTTGCCGGAATTACGTCTTGAATGGACTCGACAACACATTATACAACGTCTACAGTCCAATCAAGACAGCAAAGGAACTTTGGGAATCGTTGGAGAACACATTATACAACGTCCATGTTGGCATGCCCATCGGCATTGGCATTCGTAGCTGACTCTGGAACCCTGTGATTCTGCTGGTTCTCTCCTATTGTCAATCCGAGTTGCTGATTCTCTCCCCTCCTGTTCTCAGTTGGATCCTCCATACGGCCAGGCTTATCCCCGGGAAAGTAAAGATAAAACCGAGGGAAGAAAAAATTGTAAGAGTCTTAGCATAGCATTTAGAAGAATAAATATGATCCAGTTCTATCCCACAGAAACAAACCTCAATTCTCTGCCTCAATATAAGATATCTTTCAGGGGTTCTTTTGCCTCCTACATGAACAATCATATCGCACTGCAAACAAAGGGAGCTTCCATCCACCTCACAGTAAAAGAAAGCTGCACATGCACAATTCAGAGAGAGAAACATAAGTTTAAACCTTTTTGACCCTTTTACAAAAATAGAAAGCATATTTGACATTATGAAAATCTGCATACCAGGTGCATTTTCACATATGTCAAAGTCACCCCTAAACATAAACTTTGGTTCTATTTAAACAGATAACACACCAACATTTGGGCAACAAACAAGAGAAAGCATCAATCAATTTCAATTTTCAACAACTGATGTACCACACCCATGATAAGTAATTGGAAGTTAATATTTTGCAATGAATAAACCAGTTGACTCAGTCAATTCCATATTCAGATGGTATTTTCTTATTTACAATCAGTTTCAGGATCTTAAAAGCCCAACTCAAGTTCAACCAATGGTAGACAAATAAGAATTACATTGTTAGGGGAAAAGTATTGACCTAAAGGGAAGGGGCCAATTAACACAGAATCATATATAGTCATCCCATTAAGTAAACTATACACCAAAGTCAAATTAGGCAAAAAATATTTTGTAACAAAGTGTATGCAAGAAAATAGATAAATCCATTTGAAATAAATAGACCATAAAACTCAGAGAAAAATGGGGCCATTAAAGTTTCATGAAAACAATACCAATTCCTTGCCAAGCTCAACATCATCTTGGTAGCTGCTCTACTTGCCTTGGCTACTCCCACAAAAGACACAAATACTCTTGAACACACAAAGATATGCACACACATAGCTAATACATGCAAACTTAACTTAACAAGATATCATAACATTAAAAAAAAAAAACTTAACTTACATCACATGTGCTGACCAGAATCTTATGGTTAGGGTCTCTTTTTATATAAATTATTGCTTTATTACCAATCATGATGCTCCACATAACCATCTAATCATTATTTATGCACAACAAATGAAAGTGAATTTACATAAAAGAAAAAAAGATTCATTGTAATTTCCATCAGCTAGGAATACGGTTATTCATGACATGAGTGATATTGAGTAGGAAAACAAAATTTACATGTGGCTTTCTAATTAGCTCCATGTCATCAAGGTGGCCCCCAAGTGTATCACCTGGCTTGAGCAGTGCACAAACATTTTTTACTAAATAATTAGGCTTGTTGAGTTTATGAGCTCTTTCCTTCTAACATCTCAATAACTAAATTCTCAGGAAAAAAAATTAACTACACAAATACACAAATTCTCATAATCTACTTTAAAACCAAACACAACATTCAAAAGATAGCTATGACTGAAGAATACCTAACCCGAAGTAATTCACTATTGCAGCTTCTGGGCGAAATTCTTCCCCACCTGGCATTGCAGGTGCTACCATCTTTTTAACCAATTGGCAAAAAGCATCGGGGATCTTGTTGTGTGGAAGAGATACATTGTAATTCCGCTGTACAAACATGTAAGAAAGTTACTTCAGATATTACTGACGAGTATATCTCACAGAACTACAATGAAACAATGTTCAAAATAAATTGATGACCGGTGTTCATGCTAATTAAACAAAGATGTACAATATGACATATGTACTAGAATTGTAATTCAAGCCAATTGATGAAAAAACTTACACGGGACACAGGTCAAAACAGATAGTTGGTGCAAATATCTTATGAAAGTTCAATAGACATCAAACGATATAGAAATTCACAATGGTGACCTCATAGCTTAAAGCAATACCAATCATGGTCCAAATGGGTTGCTAGTATTGAAAGAAATAAAGGCCATAATACTCAATTTGAGATAAAAACTGAAAAAGAACAATATGAAATTAGCAATCACCTTGGACCAGTCAAATTGCAGTCCAAGAGTGTCATGACCCAAACCCGCCCCTGTAGGTTTAGCATCGTAACCGGCCAGTAATCCTCGGATCACCAAAGGCCTCTGAACAGATTAACAAAATTAAGGGGCTAGCGGAAGCTAATACATAAATATAGTTGTCCAATGAGCTGTGCTGACTTATATGAAACGGAATATTTAAAAACTTTATATACAATAACCGGTAGTGAACCATACATTATACCCACAAACATTACAGTATTTTAAGTACAGCCAACAACATCAAATCAAGTCTTAAATAAACAGAAATCACAGAACTTAAACACAGGACGCTTCGGGAACCCCCACGTGAGGCACAATGGTTGGCTAACAATAGAGCACAAATCCAGACAAAAGCCTTCAAGCTCGGGCTCCAGAATGCTCACCTATACATATATATACACACAATGAGCTAAAGCCCAATGAATAACATTAGGGTAAAGGGGTTAGTGAACGAAATCCAAATATATCATAAGCAGAAAACAGACCAGAGCATAATCATTCTCATATCAGAACATAATAATGGTACATCCCATAGAACACATCACAGAACGTCTTTCGACTAGAGTAATTGGTTCCGGATACCGATTAAACACATATCACCACAATGAAGTGGCTAGCGAGATCTCGTAATTACTTGTATGTCATGGACCCGCATTTTCATGTCGTCCCCCATGACTTGGGACTATCTATGGAGGCCATAATAGATTTCAAACATGAAATATTCGTTCACGAAAACAGATATCATTTCAGAAATCAGAACTTATCATATTTCATTTGGAACGTAATTCATATGAATGTATCTTTACAATAACGTTACTCACAGTGGTTCCAGTAAGCGGTCACTCAGTCCTCGAGTCTTAACCTACAACCACAAAATACATAACACAAGCAGATCTTATCATTACACATTCAAGTGGCCATTAAGACTTACATTACATTGGTTCTTATTCTTTCTTATCACATTGCCTAACACACACACACACTTGCAGTCTCGGAACTTAGTACATTCATTCCTTAGTGTGTTTCTAATCCATAACCTCATTACCATGGCTTAATTAAGGCTTAAGAATTCTTAGGATGCAATCAGGATGCCAAAACATGAGTTGGAACACTTAGGCAAATTTTCTGAAAATAAGGTCCCCGCTCGAGCGTAGACTTCCTCGCTCGAGCGGACATGGTGTGTGTGTGTGTGTGTGTGTGTGTGTGTGTGTGTGTGTGTGTGTGTGTGTGTGTGTGTGTGTGTGTATTATGTTGGACCAAACTTGCCCTAAACATGTAACATTTGTATAGGAAGAAGCAACTGTAGCGGGATTTGAAGTTCCAAAATCACCTGATTCGAGTTACAACAACGTGTACCCTGGGAATGAAGATGAGACACGGGACCCACCCATAGTTCCTGCACAACTGCAAGACACATTACTAAGCGGTCCAACAAGCAGAGACCAATCTGAATCCCTTCGATTACCCCAGCATGTGATTGTCAACCATCTTTACATTGAGAACAGAGAAACCTCGCGACCTGTTGTGGCACTTGGAATCACTCATCGCTTCCGTGCGAAATTCGTTACTGTCGTACTCTACAAACCTGTTCAAAGAAGGGGAAGTACCAGTAATTGATTTGTGCATATTGTACTACCTACCTTACGAGCCTTTATTTTAGGTTTGTTTAGTTTGTCTATGTTATGATTGGAGGAAATTATATAAAAACCCAAATGGGAACTAGCAGCGAAGCATATTTATGTTGATGAAGCTGCTGGTGAAACTTAATGTTGATCCTTGAAAATTTTCTGGACTTGAAATCATCAAATAGTTTGATAAAGAGTAGATGTTCCATAAATTCAATTTGTTATCTATGTTCTTTTTTAAAATTATTTTTCGAGCTGAATGTTTTTCTCCTTTTTGTGGCATGGATGGCAATCTATAGCCACTGACATCATATGCATTATGCGCGTGCGTGTGTGGGGTGTAATTTAATATCAGGCATGGATTCAAAGATAAGGTTAATTGTTGTCTTTGAATGATATTAATGATTAATTATGTGTAAGGTGCATTACTTATCCGTACGGTGCATCTAGGAAGAGTTTGGGATGATAAAGTCAATGGGATTCAATTTATTTTGTGCGTATAGTTCCTGCAGGTCTCTCTAGATAGAGTCGAAAACAATATGCATATTTGTGGTTTTTGTCTATTTGTGTTTTTTTCGTCTATTGTGAAATATGAAACAATATGCATATTTGTGATATGATTTCAATGATCGTGTTAACACCACCGTCTCTTGAGGGTTGTTAGTTCAACCGCCTTAGAGAGAGGGTTGTAGATATAGATTTAGATTTATCATTCGTATATATTGAAGATTGTATGTGTGTTTGTACATCGTGTCATCCATTGCAATTATTGTTTAGCGGCTCTCCGTTGCTACCCCATTAGGAGGAGTTTGGATCCTCTCCAGCCAACCTCTCCAGCCATTCCTCCTGTCAATGGCCAAGATTTGGCCACGTCACTTTGGCTGAAGAGGACGGCTCAGATCAAGTTTGGTTAAAAAAAAAAATTTGATTTTTTTTTCTTTCACCATAGCAACAGAGCGTCCGGCTTGGAGAGCTACTCCGGCATCCCATTCGGCCGGCAAAGCCATCTCTAGTGCCCTCTCAGCCTATGTCTCCTTCCTTTTCTCCTTTATTTCACCTCCTCTCTCTCTTCAAACCCATAAACCTTCTCTCTCTAATCTGCAATCGATTAGAGAGATTGAAAATGACAAAATTCAAACCGGAATATTCAAGTAAGAAATGAAGAGAAATGCTTTGATTTTCTTGAAGTCGTGCATGTCGATGATCTCCCAGACATTACAAGAGCATTGAAACCCAAATCATGAAACCCAGATCGTTGAACCATGAACATGGAAACCTATATCATTGAACCCATCTCTGAATTGGTTGAGCATCGATTGAGCTCTAAATTGATTGGGTTGAGCTTCAATTGATATCTGATTGACCTTCGATTCAAATTTAAATCTAGATTTGTTCCAGTAGTGCAAATCGTTGTTACCACGTCGGAAAGAGAAGCAAGAATGATAGGGAGAAGTAAGAAACTTCTGCTTGGTGATGGTAGTTTGGCATCGGAATCGTCACGGCATTGGCATTGGCATTGGCATCGGCATCGACAGTGCTCCTGTAACGAGAGAGAAGAGTTTAGGAGAGAGAGAGAGAGATGAGAGTTGGACAGAGGGAAACTCTATTGCTTTGTTGAATTTTTTTTTTTTTTTTTAACGAAACTTGATCTAAGCCGTCCTCTTCAGCCAAAGTGACGTGGCCAAATCTTGACCATTGACAGGAGGAATGGCTGGAGAGGTTGACTGGAAAGGATTCGAACTCCATTAGGAGTAAGATATATAAAATGTATTCAAATCCTCATAGTACAGTTATAATTTTTTTTATCGTATTATTTTCTACCTCCGTGCAGAAAAAGTATGTTCCGAGTATGCAAAATTATAAGGAAAGTTAAATTCCATGAATTAATGCTGGCATTAATAGTACGTAATATAAAGAATGAGATTGTATACAGAACGATTTATGTGCGGGTCTTAATAGATGAATTTATTGTCTAATAGATCTTGTGAGAATTAATGATATTTTTTATCAAATACTACAAAAAAATGTTACAAATTGTTAATTTTCAGCAATAGTTTAAAAATTGTCATACAAAAGTCGTTAATTTTTAACTTTCAACGACAGTTTAAAAAATTCATCAGAATAAAACGTCACTAATTGTAAGTTTTAGTGATAATTTATAAAAATTGTGATAAAAAGTCATTAATTATTAATTTTTAGCAACATGTAAAAAATTATTACAAAAAATTATTTTCAGCGGCGATTTTATTAAGATTTATTTTCAATAGGACTTTACGAGAATTAAATTTAATTATTAAGATTTATTGATAGTTTATCTTTGTATTATTTATATTGCGAGAATATTTGTACTATGCAAGTTTCATGTGGACATTTTGGAGAAATTAATCTCCATTAAGCTCTTGTTTGGTTTTCTCACTGGAGCGAAAAAAATATAAAAAGAGAAAATAGGTTATATAAACAAAATGTTACTTTTTATTCATAATTATTGATGATACAGTTATGATACAACGGGTTCCTGGTAGAACGGGTCGGACTGATCCACGCTTCTCGAGCCAATATCCGAGTGGTTAAGCCCACCTGAGAACCTGCACAAGAGTTCAACGGGGAACGGGGTGTCCCCCAGCGAACTCTTCGACGAGCAAGTTAGAGAGAGGGAGAAGTGGAATGTAGATATATGAATTAGAGATAGAAAGCTTAACCTTTTTCTTGTCTTCAACGTCTGCTTATATCCTTTGGTCATCATTTCGTTGTCCCTTCCGACCTGTCACCTTAGCCAAAAGTCTATGCTGTACCTTACCTTGTTCAGGGTGAGGGCGTGCTGTTCCAACGGAGAGGTATTGTCGTAATAAATGCTGTGAGGGGCTGCATTAATGGCGATGTGCAGTGGCAATAACTTTGCAGATCTTTGTCTGCTGATGTGGCTTGCCATTTGCCTGCCGCGTGCCTGGGTATTATTGGTCCTTCGTGTCATGTTGGTTTTTAGCTGTTCTGGACCTCATCAATTAGGTTGTGTATTGGGCTCTAAGTGATGGGCTTGGGTTGTTCGTAGTGGGCTATGACCTTTATGAGCCTAACCACGTTAATTATTATACTTTTTCTCTCACAAAATTCAAAAAAGTCTCAAAACAAAAAACAAACGAGACTAAAAAAATTAGGCTAAAAAGTCCCAGCATAAAAAAGTTGACTATATTAGTCAATGCCAAACGACCCAGTAAGAAAGTTTTTATTTATTTATTTTTTATTTTTACTTTGGGTTGGTTTTCCACCTACCCAACAATGCATAAATTCAATCCCATCATGCAGTCTTTGATTTCCTTTTATATTTTGCAAACACAGAAAATGGAGTGGATATATATTTGTTTACACATCTAGCCAGCTTATGCGCTTGATTTCCTTGAGGCACTGCATAATTTGTTTCTGGATAAAATGTGACACAAGACTGCAGCATGTACCTAAGAGTCTTGTTAGAAAAAGAAAAAAAAGAAAAAAATCAAATACTATTATTTAAGATTTGAAATTTTTTAAATAATAATATTATTTATTCAGAATAAATATATTTATGAATTACAACCAATTTAGGTGAAATTTACATCCCTTAACTTTCAATTCACATTATACACCTAATTTTGAAATAAAATTTGGAAATAATTTCGTATGATTCAAAGCATTTTTAAATTTTAAAAGCGGAGAGAGAAGAGAGGGGTAACTATCATAAAAAAAATACACATTGGCCATTGATTGACTTGCAAGTTGGCAGATACTGAATTTTGCCCAAAAAATATCCACTATTTTTATTTTTTTTTAACATAAAAAAAAGATGCTTTGTGGGGATATCATAACATCTGCGGGTCCTAATTGAGGGGTAACCGGATATCAACCAGATTTAATTCAATCCAAAGGAACCCACCATTGGGACAAAAGAGAAGTGCACCAATCCCCAACACATGAAGCAAGGCCATGAGTGAAGTACATCGTAATCCGTTTCAACCGTTTGAATTGCTAATCACGCCCTCTAGAAATCAAGCCCTACTTATCTATCCGAAAGAAAGACACATTTCCACTCCATCACCACCTCCGGTGGTATATCCATAGGGTTGACAACGGCGTTTGGCGACACTTGGTGACTATTTACTTGTAATCATCTTATCATATATATTATTAAAAATAGTATTTTTTTCATACTTAAGTGCCACATTATAAGGGTTTACTTTTTTCTAAGAGAGCTACGTCAGTATGTATTTTCTTAATTACATAGAATTTTATACAAACTCAAACTTAATTTAAATTATACTAACTTTATCTATTTTATATGTGTTAGATAATGTCTCAATGGGACCACATATTTAAATGTGGTGTTATCATTTATAAGAAGCCTACAATTTAAGTGATTCAATTTAGTTAATAGGCTTAAGGGTATATGTGTCATGGACCTAATGTGTAGATACTAGTTGAGTAATTTCTATTTCTATGAGGGGCAGAAATAGAAATTAAAACAAAATTGGTTAAGTTGGTTTTCATTCTCTTAAGAAACTGCCACGGTTTTTTCTTTTGAAAACCTATTTAACCTTAAGTTGTTATGGTCCCTAATCCTGCCAAAAGGGAATAACTGCCAATTTCTTCTATATCCTCTCAAGGAGAAATTTAAGGCACTAATAAGGAAATGATTGGAAGGCAATAACAAAGGCAAAATCAAAGGATGTATTGACAATCACACTTCCGTTCAACTATAACAATGGATTCGAGTACTTATGTTTTGTTTTGATTTCTTGATAATATACATGATACATGATCAGAGTTTAAAGTTCTTATATTATGTCTGTTTCAAGTGGCATCAGAGCATGGTTGTATCATGTTCATTATTGGAAATCATGCAATTAAGTTTCATTGTGTTTTTAAATATATATATATATATATATATTTTGTGTTAAACTGTTTTCTGGTTAACGGTATGTATTTCGGATTGCAACCTATCATCGTGGTCTTCTGTAGTTGTTTAAATTAGTGCTTGTGTTTGCCAAACTTTATTACAAGTTGCATGAAAGAATATTGATTTTGGTTTTAATGGGTTTACATGAAAACGTTTCTGGAAAATTCATGTTTTGTGCCTTTAAAGTTTGTTTTATTTTGGTTTTAAATCAGTTTTATTTCTTGTTTCTGTTAAATTGTTACAATTTGTCGGCACTGTTTCATTCTGGAAAATTTAATTTATAGTTCAGTTAACAGTTTTGAATCTTGAAATTTTT